AATGATGCTGGGTGGCCATCAGTGTGATTGTCGATTTCCAATTTGAACAGAAATAGCATGATTTTTTAGTGCGTTGCTTGTTAAAGAACATAATGGTGATCAGTATTTTTCTTTCCTGTCGGATTTAAACGGCGTACAGGTACCGTCCTCTTGCTTCCAGCAGCCTAAGGGGTCATTTTGGCAGGCCATGGCTTTTGAACACCTGCAGTTGATGGATGCAAAATCGCATTACTGGGCATTGCTGAACAAATGCCTTTTCGGTCACTCCGTTATGCCAGTGTCCGAAGGCCTGTTTATAAGTAGAAATAGACCCCGACAATACGGGTTAGAGAAAAATTATATTTTTGTTTTACTGCCGGATTTAAACTGCTTATAATGAACGTCAGTGCTTTATTTTGAGAACTAGCAGTATGCTTGTAAACCCGTTAGATCTTGTCTATTTTTATGTATAATGATGAGGATTGTTGTTGTTTTCGTCGTTTGTTTGGCTAGTGCCATCGTTGGAAATCATGCATCATCGGTACACGTAAATTTCTTTCACCGTTGAACTTGCACTTGCAACAAATCTGTAGTGCATGTCTGCCTTTGGGTTCGTCGTCAGTTTTGAACTTTGACGTTGCGCGACAGACGGTCGTGGAGAGTAGCGACGAATGAGGTGGCTAGCGCATCAACGGGTGCAGTGAAATTAATTGTCTGTTGTTTGTTTGATGTCATCGTCAACGACCGTCTGTCGCCAGTTGGTGTATTTGTACTTTTTTGTTTGCATGTGGGCTTTTACACGCCAATCTGCAACTCCTGACGTGACGACGTTGCGATTTACGGTTCATGCAATTCGCCATCGAACGATGATTTGCTTTGCTGTTCGAAATCACAAATGCTGAAAACGTTTCATGTTTCAGGGTCGATGCTCAAGAGAGAATCCTAAATGTAAATACCTGCATCCTCCGCAGCACATCAAGGACCAGCTGTTGATAAATGGCCGGCAAAATCTGGCTATTAGGAATTTGCTCATGAACCAGATTTCGACTCCGCTTTCAGCGCTAGGAATCAATCCGTTAACTTTGGTAAGTGCCTTCCGCGCACGCGTGTTATTTGCTGCTTTTCCGACTGTATAGGCGGCAGGCATATAGGTAAACTGTATCGTAGAGAAGTACCACCACAGCTGGTATGCTGTATGTACGGCCGGATCGTTTTGCCTTCAGCACATTCTATTCTGGCTGTTGGTCACGTTTCTCGCTTCAGCTCTGTTCCTGTGTGATAGCACATGTGATGCTTTGTGTCACCCTGTCACCGATGGCAAATTGGCAGAAGAAACTCAGTTATTGTAGACTGTGCCACGAGTCACTAAGTCAAAAATTTCGCTATCTACAAGCAGGGCTGTCCTGTTCAGCTACGAGTACAAATTGAAGTTCAGCTCGATTATGAAATACCGCCTTGTGTTCAATGATAATGCGCTCTGTCGTTCAGATGTTTTTGATCACATTATGTCAGAATATCAGCGGTCATGCATCTGTTGCGTTATCTACACCCTGTTCTTCGAGCAACTCATATCATAACTTTCATAATAAACTAACGGTACTTCTTAGCGACAATTATAGTCTGTAACTGAGACTTGTAATTCTTAGTTTTATCCTTTAAGTCCGCTGCTCATCGTTCAGCCAGTTTATTCGATTTTGTGGCAAACGTCGCGCAGCTAAGCGTCAGTCCGTTCGTTTCCAATTTATGAGTCCAAGATTTGATTAAAGTGATGTCGAAAGACCAGCAGTGAATGGAGTGTACGATCCTGTCAGACAGGGCCTGCGAGAAATTGAGACAGTCAAGTTGTGATCGTCGAATCTTTACAATTGAGATTGAATCTAAGACGGTCTAATTGCTACACCAACCACTAAAACTGTTGTAGTATTGTATTTATTCAGTGTTTAAAATCGTTTGTCAAATTTTTATTCGTTTTCATATATTTATTTGTTGTTTTGATTTATTTTATCAACCAATCAGTTTCGATGACTACTTGTCTATTCGCGTTAGACGGTGCTTCCAATAATTCCCGATCCCGTTACATATCTTCAGAGAAGATGACTTGAGTATGGAGTGCAGTTCTTCCATACTCTTGCTCAGAAGAATTTTAGCCGTCTGCGAGATATTCTAGCGGGCGGTTTCGCAAGTAAAGTAATAGTTGCTTCGCTTTCCTTTCTGGAGTCATTTGC